CACATTTTCAAATAATATCTTCTTCAGAAAAGACCCTCATTCCTGTTGGATCTCAAATCATTATAAATCTACATCTTAGAAGATGTATAGATAGATATAGGGGAAATGGATGTAATTTCAGCCTAAATACCCCTAATTTGGACCCATACTAAATTTTCAATAGCGACCAAAAATATCCATTAGTACCGTCCCAATGACGCGTTCATCTAGATAAAATTGATAAATAGCAGATTTTTAGCGATGGGTTCAATCTTAGATCCATAGGCCAACATTAGATCCATTTCCCCTGTATAAAAAAATAATTTCTGTCTGTCTGACCCTTATAGACTCGGAAACTAGTGAACCGATCGGCGTGAAAATTTGTATGCAGGGGTTTTTGGGGCTGGGAAAGGTTCTTATGATGGTTTGAGACCCCTCCCCATTCTGTAAGGGGGGCGCCCATACAAATGCAACAGAAATTTCTGCATAACTCTAGAAGTAATCAAGCAAATGGAACCAAATTTGGCATATGGAGGTCATAGGAGGTAGCTTCTTAGATAAGAGGGGGGAGGGCTGCGTACAATATAGCATGATTTTTTATCAATTGGCGCATAAACTCAAGCTAATATTAAATCCCGAGCAAGGCCGGGCACACTCAGCTAGTATATAATAAAAGAGCATTTTTGACAAGCTGGGTGGATTAATACTTTTGGCCAACAAGAATGAAACAATATCCCACTGTGCGACACACCCCGGCGCACCATCTCGTACGCACTCCAGAAGTTGTGGAAGTCCTCCTCTTTCATCCACCCGTATCAATTTTAATTCAATACAGTGAAGCATGGCTTTTCAGCAACACTGCCAATGGTCTACCCACACGCATTTTTTTTTTCATCGTAAACATCCACATGTGTTCAAGGTTCCGTCCAAGCCCAAGTGAAAAAGAAAACCCTTTCATCGCATCTTTCCTTCTAACAACTTATTGCGGAAGCCTGTCGGCCTGTCAGCCTGCCTCTGGCGGGAAATACATTTATAACATTTATCGTTGACAGATTAAGCTGAAATTCATTTACTGCCACATGTGCTTTCACAGCAGCCTGTCAGTTTTTGTGTAGGTACACACGCAAGCTCACGTTTCGGTATTTTTCGCTAAATATTCAGTGGGAATAGGTACCTAAATATAAAGTTAAATGTAGTTGGCGGAGGGTTGAGAACCCAGTCCTAGCCTCCAACAGTAAAATCATACCTCCAGTAATAAAGTCATGTGTATATTTATTTGAGCCAACATGTTTGCTTTCACTGAACCACACCTGGTTTCACTATATGTACGTACATTGTAGTTGTTGGAAGCTTTTATCAGTGCTAGGTACAATACACAGGTCTGACGTTCAGAGGGTGGGAGTAGTAAAATTTGAGTTCATCATAACGTTTGATGAATTGAGTTTACTCAGGCTGGTAAAAGGGTAGAAATGTAGGAAAATGGAAGATAATATTATGTTCCATTCCGGCAACTGCGAACCCAACTTCAAATGAAGCGCAATCGATTACGCATTTGCATACCGATGAATAATAATAACTGTGTAGCAACATCAGATAAACTAACTGCGATAGAACAGCTGATATTGAGTTCAATAATTCAATTTAATTATTTTCAAACATATTTAGGTTCGGCTTGGCAGTCTGACTTTCACTCATAAAAAAAAAAATAATTCATTATAACTTGTCCCTACGTATCGGCTCTGATTAGAGCCTTCTTCAGGGGAAACTGGGATAATTTACAAAAAAAAAATCAACAAAACTTTGAACAATCCAATTCAAAAACTTACTAACAAACAAACATACGTTAGACTTCAAAAAGTATCTAGACAAAGAACAAATCCAACAATTGTGAAACAGAAATTTGTAAAATGTAAAACAATTATTTTTTTAAATAAAATTCCCCCCAGTTTCCCCTGAAGAAGGCTAATCAGAGCTGAAAATTAGGGACAAATTTTAATGAATTAATTTGTTCTGATGAGTGATTGCCAAACTGCCAAGCCGAAACTAAAAATCGCTTGTCAAATAAATGTGAAGAACAAAGATCTTTGCATAGCTTCCGTTTATGTCCCTCCAAGGACTTCCATAAACCGCCGTCAGTATTGATTCTACCGATCCTCTACCACCAGTGGACGAGTATCGTTTCTTTACCGAACTAATCTACAAAAGCGCATTAGAAGCTCAGAAACGACGTGTTCCAAGTGCATCCTTCAAAAGAAGACCCGCCACTCCTGGATGGGATGACGAATGCACAAAGTTGTATCTTGAGAAATCCGATGCCTTTGAAGATTATCGTAGACGTGAAAGATCTGAGCTTTTTGAAAAGTATCTAAAGCTTGAAAAAAAAGCTTAAAAAACTTACTAAAAGCATAGAAACGAAAATACTGGCGTACTTTTATCGAGGGACTTTCTAGAGAAACCTCGATGACAACGCTTTGGAAAAGGCTCGCTTTATGCGTAACCGCTCATCTTCCAATGAGAGTGAAGAATACTCCTCCCAATGGATATTCGACCTCGCCAAAAAGGTTTGTCCAGACTCTGTCCCAGCACAACCAACTTTACGGGATACAGCCCGGAGTAACCGTTCTCTGGACGAACCATTCACAATGCTGGCATTTTCAATGGCACTTCTTTCATCGAATAACTCTGCTCCGGGAAGCGATATGATCAAATTCGATCTTCTAAAAAACCTCCCCGATATCGCTAAAAGACGATTACTTAACCTATATAATTCATTTATGGAATTCAATATAGTTCCACCAGCATGGAGACAGGTTAAAGTAATAGCTAATCAAAAGCCTGGAAAACCAGCGTCTGATCACAATTCTTACCGTCCGATCTTTATGTTATCATGCCTGAGGAAATTATTAGAAAAAAATGATCCTATCAAGACTTGATCATTGGGTTGAATCAAACAATCTACTTTCAAATACGCAATTTGGTTTCCGAACGAGTAAAGGAACAAACGATTGTCTAGCGATGCTTTCATCTGATATTCGACAGGCCTTTGCCCACAAGGAGCAATTGGCTTCAGTCTTTTTGTATATTAAGGGCGCATTTGATTCTGTTTCCATAGACATACTGTCAGTCAATTTGCACAGTAGTGGATTACTCGGTATTTTGAATGATTTCTTGTATAATTTGCTGTCAGAAAAACAAATGACCTTCAATCTAGGTCAACTGACAACTTCTAGAATTAGCTACATGGGCTTACCCCAAGGTTCATGTCTAAGTCCCTTACTTTATAATTTCTATGTCAAAGATATTGATAACTGCTTAGATAATCTATGCACGCTTAGACAGCTTGCAGACGATGCCGTGGTTTCCCTGAGAGGTCCACGTGCAGAAATCTTGCATCTGGGCATCAGGGCAATAAATTTAAGGATCGATTTTTCACCGCAAAAAACTAAATTGGTAGTGTTTACAAGGAAGCGGTTTCCAGCCCAACTGCGTCTAAATCTTTTGGGCAGAGACATTACCCAATCTTTAACCTTCAAATACCTTGGAGTCTGGTTTGATTCAAAATGCACTTGAGGTACCCACATTACGTATTTGAAACAAAAGTGTCAACAAAGGATCATCTTTCTACGATCAATTTCCAGGACATGGTGGGGTGCTCACCCGGAAGACTTAATTAAACTGTATAAAACAACTATTCTTTCAGTTCTTGCGTTTGGTTCTTTTTGCTTCCTCTCAGCAAGAAAAAGCCACCTAATTAAATTGGAACGCATTCAATATCGTTACATATTGAATCTCTCGCAAAGGTGGGCGCACAACAAGGCGAGATTTATGATAGAAGAATTTCACATGATGATTTTTTCCCATTAGTACGTCAGAGTTCTCTTTTAAGTTGGCAAAACGATTAGACAAGTAATTCTCCTGAGCGATGGTTACATTCCATTATCCCAAATATTTTTTCGAGAGTGTGGTTCAAAGGTTTGGATATAAGTCGGGGATTCATTCGCGTGATGTCGAGACTTATGTCCAACCACTATTCGCTAGACGCACATCTCTACAGAATAAACCTCGTTGACAGCAATATATGTAGGTGCAGAACCGGTTATGATAACATCGATCACGCAGTTTGGTATTTCCTGGGTAATGACGTCTCCAGAACACGACTGTCGGTTACCTTAGTGGCCCGAGGTAGACAACCCTTTCGTGAAGTAAGAGATGTATTGGGAACCCGTGATATTCCCTACATGCAGACGATCTACGAATTCCTTTGTTTGCCTGATGTTAGAGTTTGATGTGACCATCCCCTTCTTTCCAAAGAATTTCCAGCCATTGTGTCCCAGTTTTATTATCCTCCTGTTGCTGTGCTACTTGCCCCTGCCCAGCCAGGATTTGGTCAACCGTCCGAGAGTAGTATCTGAAGGAGGCTTCAGAAACCAGTTTCCTACCTAGATCCTTCCAATCGAAATTGTTACCCATTATCGTTGAGCCCGCCACGAGTAATTGGTACCCAATACTAACCTAGAACTACTGCTGTATAAAATGTAAATTCAAACATTACTGATTTATGGATCCGCAAAGTGTCACACACGACTGAGCCTAAACAATAAACCAACTAGTTGAAAAAAATATAAACTCATCAGCCTTTGGTGGAAGGATGTTCTAATGAAGATATCGAAAATAAATAAATAAAAACCAATCACAACTTAAGAAGAGTTTTTTTCCTAAATGACATCAAATCCAACTTTCAGCAATCTCATTCAAATTTACTTTCCCCGGTCATGAACCGTACAAAGCTCTACACTCTACAATTTAGCCAAGTTCGAAATTGATTTCCCTCTCCCAGGGCTCTCTATGTCTCCGGCAGCCAACAAATTCAATCAATTATTGTAATTTGCTTCCGATGACAAACTCTCCATCTTGTTCCATTCCTGCATACCATCACTGAGGTGCCACTTGCTTCGGGTACAAAGTACGGTTTCCATTTTCTTTTTTAAATCGAATTTCTTCTTTTCTTTCTCTCTTTGCAGTTAACTTGCCACACAAGTTCAAAGTTTACGACTTCAAACACAAACGGCGGCCTCCCTGCTGCCAGCACCATCCTCTACCCTATAGCAGTGCGTGTGCGGTGTAAGGAGGAAACAACAAGCAATGACAAAAACAGGCACCATTTATCAAATCGCCCAGAGAACGCTTTCCGGTACCAGATCGGAAAATAGTACTGGAATCTTTGAAGCAATACCATTGGCCACCGTCGACTTCGCTGTTGTTGTTGTTGTTTTTTAGTGGTACGAGGAATCCAAGCGAACGATACAGGACATGCGGAGGACGACGGCGACATGAATCAAATTAGTCATACTTTAGGAATAGCTGTCTGTACTACAGAAGATGCTGCAAGTGGGAAGCTATTTCTGTGCCATCGGTTCATGGGACGCGGGAATAAATTGCACCGGTGATAGAGTTTCAAATAGTTCCTCCGAAATGTGGTAGAAAGTGCAATTCCGGAAGTCAAAGTGGCAAACTATTTTCACAAGTCTACAGTGGATCATTGTCGAACAAACCCTCAGACGTAAATAATATGTACTTTCTGGAAAGAAGATTTGAAAAAGAGTGAAGCTATATAATATATTGCGAATCTGCTTCAAGTTCGACTTGAAAGCTTCATCTTGAGTGAACACAGCATCAACAATTACAGTGATTCTTCCGTAGCTCGTGAAACACGTAAATTACTGCAGCACTTCTAGGTTTTATCCTGTTTTCTCATCGTCCATCATCATTCTCGTTGCTGCTCAAGTATCTAGTGGAAAATAGGAAGCGAGCAGCAAGAAAGAGTGAGTGGACCATTAAAACCGCACCCCAAACAGTAGTAACCATGAAGTCGGCAATCCTGTACCCTTACGGGCCACTCCGGGCTAATGGGTGCTGTCGAATGCTGCATGCGAAACATTTAGCACTGACGAGTGCCATTTACACACTGGTGAGTAGTGCTTTTGTACGTTTCTAGCCCCATCCATTTGAGAACCCTGGGATTTAAAAGAGTAATACAGCGGGAATGGGTTTTTATGTCGTAGCAGGTCTTGATGAAGGCGTATTTTTTTTTCCTGTACGGTAAGTGTACCAGTTTTGGCACCAATGCACCAGTTTGTTTGTTAAACAAATTTAAGATAGGGCAACTAGAGGAGGTCACTAAGGCCAACAACTGGAATAAAACTGGACGTCCATCAAGATTTAACCTGCACTACACTAGCCATAAGCGCATATCAGTCTCACTAGAAACCACCAAACATTTTCCGTTTTATTGAGTCGAATGAATGTGAAAGTTGGCAATCTACATCCCGTTTGATGAAAGATGAATTGAAAAATATTTTCCGACTAAATCAGATCTTTATTTGTAAACAAGATGAAGGAAGTAGGCCGCGCGATTGAAATGACGTGTTTTGATTTTGCTAAAAAAAAAGTCTCTGTGTTTTTATGGATTTTATCAAATTTGAACGATTAAAAAAACTCTAAAATTGATTGTGTAAAAAAAGATCTTATTCCGGATTTGTATCTGAAGGACAAAAATTGGAAGAGGCTGATAGGCAATCAGAAGGTCATCAAGATGGAGTGAATCAAGCGAGTTGGTCGCCGGTAAGGGCCAGTAAGTGCTGCCAGCAGATGAATCAAGAGGTATTCGAAACAAAATTGGTAAGAAATGTCCATTCAAATCGATTTAATACAGTTGAACAAATTTCAAAACTATATACGTGCCAGATTTGGAAATAATATTTTTTGAATCTGGAAGTGTGTTTATGATACCATTATACATTTGATAAAGGTAGAGTGAACATGCTGGGCTTATTGTAAGTAAAAGTGACCTCGGAGTGGTCGTGAATTACCAGGCATTCTGAAATGGGTCACTGGAGCTGCAATAGAGCTAACACCTTCTAACTCCCGGACTAAACCTGCTTTAATTTAAGGGTAATAAAAAGCAGTTTTCTTCCATAATAACACTGCCGGACAGTGGGGGTTAGATTGTACACACACACACACAAATCAGATCTTTATCTGTAAACAAAATTACCAATCTTGAGAAAATTTTAACGAGACTGACATGCGTTTAATTGCGCTTGGAACGGTGAAAATAAACGCATATCAGTCATGCGGCTTGATGTGATGCATTGTGTGTCACGCGACCATCGTTATTGTTTTGACGGTTGACGTGGTCGGTTCAAACGTTTCGAAAATGTTTGCTCTCGATTATTTAAAATTTGACGGAAGTGGCGATAGTTCTTTCGATGAGGAACCGGTTCGAAGTGAAGCTCCTATTACCGGTGGTGTCTCGGGTGGTGCACTGCACTGCGATAACATTGACTTTACAGTGACAAAAGCCAAATTAAAGCAATATTTTAATTCCTTGCGTAACGTCAGCTACTAGTAGTATTCTGATTTGTTCTCAAGATTAAATTCTAAAAAAATAGCACTTGAGGTTACAATTGTAAAACGGTCTACACTGATTGACGACAAATAAAATAAATAAATGTTTGATGACGAAAGTTCCGATGACGACTTTACTGGATTTGAAACCAATGGGTAGTGTTCACGATCAGGTCCCCGTTAAGAAATTTCCAGTGGGCAAATTACATTAAATCCACTTAATTAATGTAGGTATCCATGACAGATTTTAGAGAGTTGTATGGATTTTTCTCCTTTAGTTTACTTAAATCTTTGGTTTTTATTAGTTAGGTAGGTTCCGATTCAACACATTGTAGTTTCATTTTTTATACCTATGATCTTGACTTTTTTACCTAGGGGATGAGTACTTAAGGGGGTTAGATTTTGATAAGTTCTTTAGTGGGAATGACACTCATGAAGACTGCACATTGTAGTCGAAATACGTATCTGTCATGGATACCAAAATTAATTAGGTGGAATTAAATGGAAGATAACCTTTTTTGCTATTTTATTTAAGCATTCCGCTAACAACCCAATTTCATTACTTCATTATGATGGGATTTTCCTTATTAGAGAGTTAGCATTCCGCTAACAATCCAATTTCTTTACTTCAATACATTAAATCTTTAGAAGATTCAAAGGCCGAAAGCGACATAAACTCCGAAGGAAGCTTCACTGCTTTTGCTTAGGCTACCAAAAAACGAAAATGGACCAAAAAGGAGCTCATTGCTAGAAAAAATGCGACGAAGCGTCATCTTTCAGACCAAGTGAAATTTGCTGATTGCAGCTGCAAGATGGAATGTGGGACAAAAATTTCCAAAGACGATCGGATCCAGCTGAACGCGATGTTTTGGACGCTGAATAAAAAAAAAAAAACAGAACAGCTACATTTGACTGAATGTGCAGCGCATGGAGGTAACGAAACGGCACCAGTACAGGTACAGCGAAGATGAGCCTAGAAAATTCAACAGCTTTGTGTTTCAATTTGTTTCCTCCAACGGCACTTCTGATAAAGTTTGCGGGAAGTTTTTTTTAAACACCTTCGGTTACGGTGACAACTCTGGGTGAGTACATTTGATCTTATCATAGTAATGCCGCTATTCTACGAGTATAATTACTTCCACAGTAACATCATTTATCGGCGGCGTTGAAGGGGATCAGCTGAAGAGATCATAGCGGGGAAAGTACAAACGTAACACGGTAAAGCGTGACGCTATTGAAAAGCACATTCTATCATACTAAAGTAGAGAGCACGCCCCAAATAGATTATATATTCCATCAGATCTAACTGAGCAGTCTATGTACGAGAATTTTCAGGAAACGCACGAATTCAATGCTTCTTATCTTCTTTACTGCAAGAAAACTTGGGAAATGAAAATCTCGTTAAATTGGAGAAGGAAGAATGTGAGGTATGTTTCACTGCAGCGCAACATCATAAATCGTGAGACCACTCAAGATACTAATCCATCCTGCATACGGTTTGACGATCCCTAAAGGATTGCCAAAATGTTGCGGACTGCTTACCGAACCGACGAGGAAAAAGTGCTGCCGAATACTGTGGTTTGAGATGTTGATCTCCAAAAGGTATTGCATTATATCGTGAAAATTTAATTTATTAAATATACTTCAATCATTTAGGCGATTCAGCTTCCCAGACTTGAAGGCCTCAAAACAATCATCTTTTAGCGACGACTGTTGGTATTTAATCAGACCTTTGCACCCGTTGGCAAATATGCAAGATCTTTCCCTATTATAGCGTGTACATACGATGAATTAACATCTGGCCGATCTGCTAGCGATATCACGAGCACATTCCATCGCGTAATTCGGCGATTTAAATGCACCAAAAAGATTATCCTGTGCCTTGATAATTGTGCCTCTCAGAACAAAAACTGGGGTTGATTTTTTCACTTGATACTTTTGATTAATTGATATTCAGGTATATATCCTATTTTTCGAGTCTGGTCACACCTTTATGGCGGCAGACAATTATCATGTGGCAGTTGAGAGAGCAATGAAATCCAGACCACCATGACCACTAGAGTGATGCAAAATTTGAAATTTTCGCTCCACAATACTTAAACGATTCCAAATAGGATCCTGACTTACCTCTCAAAATTTGAACCCATTTGGTGAGAAACTGAGATGGCACAAACCATTTGAAGTTTGTATGGGAATTACTATGGTAAAACCAAGATTTGTGTACATGTCTATCTAATAATTCACCATCTCGATCTGCTTCAAAAGCTTTCAACTGTGCTTGTAGGAAATTTTCGCAGCTACAACTTGAAGACCACTTTTTGATTAAATGCAAGGATCGAAAGTTATCAATGGTTCAATACGCTGATGTCTTATGATCATGCTCAATCAACTGCTCAGCAGGCAACATTGGTGTTTCTGGGGCGTTGAATAGGACACAAAAATCATGGCTACTATGTCACACTGCAAAATACAGTGTTGCCTACAGAGCAGCTGCTTGATCATGTCATAAGTTTACCAATCTCTTAAATAATTAATAACTTTTTTCTGTGTCGTTTTACATAGAAACGATTTTCAGCAAAGTTGAAGCTGAGAAAATTTTCTATAAGAATAGCTATCGAACTGTTTTGCAGCTCAATATGGAAAAAGACTAGAAGGCAATGAACAAAAAGTTGAGATTTTTCATAGTAATTTACAAATGGCTTCAAATGGCGAAGTCTGTTTCTAACCAAATGAAATTAAACTTTGGGAGGCTAATCAGGACCCGATATGAAACCATTTAAGCACTGTGGAGCGAAAAAGTCAAATTTTGCATCAGTCTAATGACCACGGTGACATTCCCCGACTTCGAGGATGTATTGCAAGTTGCAGTGAAGAACGTGGCAGTGACATGCATCCAGAGGATTTTTTTTTTGGAACACGCCTGCAAGTCTCTCAGTACACCCTGAACAACATGCACCCTCGTATGCACATGGATAAAATCACCTTTCGAAAAGGAAGCTATTTGATGTTATACGCCGACTCAGTAGAGTCCGACGCTGATTTGAGAAGTGGTATGTTTTTTTTTTTCAAAAAGGAACACAAAATGGTGACCTCGTATAACTTTGACTTGCAATCTACTTTGGGATTCAAACAACAAGCGTGTTTAATCTAGCGGAACAGGAAACAATCACTACTAGGTGTTGTCCTATCAGTAATCGAAGATGAGAAGAAGGGTTCTGGAAAACAAAATCCAGAGAAAGAAAGCTTCTATGACGATGAAGATTGCTAGGATATTGTAGAATCTCTTCGAATCGCTTGTATCTAATAAAAAAGTTGATTTCTTTTGTTTGCAACTAGGAGCATCCCACTCTAAACTATAGCTCTAGTATCAATTAAGTATTTCCAATTATCTGATAAATATTCTTAAGTATTTTTAAGTATTTTAATGTCGTTTTCGTTTTTACTACACTACACCGGTGTAGTATAAGCAGCAATAAGCACGAGTCATTGACAGTTCATCATCATTTGTTTGTAAACAAAGGTGCAACCGATAGCTACACCCTAAAATTTTTCGGTGTTCGGCGGTGTAGCACCGGTGTAGCTACACCGCAAAAACGAAAACGACATAAGTTTCGGATTTTTTTAATCGTAGTGACCGGTTACTAATGTAGATGTTTGTTGCTGTATATTCCGCTACGTTTAATCACGTAAAATCATAATAATGCTAGTTTCAATTTGTTTTAAAATTAATGAAGTAGTGTAATCATGTGTATGAGTAAGTATTTTAATTCTACTTATGAAATAGTTCATCAACAAACAGTCTGGAAGCCAATCTGGAAGCTGCATGAGTATGAAATTCTTGGCTTTAAGCAGGTCAAGGATGCTAAGACTACGCTGGTTATTTGCCAGAGAACAATAGCAATACAATGAAGTGTAAGTGGCAGCCAGTTGTTGGGTCCAGGTCACGACAGTATCGTGCCACGTTTTGATAAACTTACATCGGTAAAAATGAGTTACGGCGAACTGGTGAGGAAGTTCAGTGGGTATCCTGATAGTAACCGAAGGCTTTATGTAAAATTAACATGAATTTCTCACTTTGAGGCTTTGAAACGAAGAAGGATAACAAGGAAAAAATAATCTATTCTGAAATATTAATTTATTTCAAAGCACTACCAAATTTGACGGTTTAGTTCAAAACAATACTTATTTGTTCCCATTTCGTGTGAAACAATTCTAAATTAAAACATATGAATTTATTTCCAACCATTTCCCAAAAAAATGCCAAAATATTCTCCGAAATATCCTTATATTTATGTTTTAATACGTAGCAACCGTTTCTGATGAATGATAGAATCAATTAGAGAGCAGTTCCGAGATTAACACCAAGCGAATATGTTGTCAATCATGTCCAGCCTTAATAAAAAAACCTGAGGCATCGAAGGTTTGAACACCAAGGAAATGTGATTAACTTCTACAATAAACTCAGTCGACGGCAATGTAGGAGATGTGGCTTTCCAGATGTTAAAAGTGCGGATGGGCAGAAAGCTTTCACAACTTCTTATTCAGCTTCAATCACTGTAAATGCCTCCCTTAGCTCAGTTGGTAAGGCGGAGCTACAAAGCAAGACCATGCTGGAGGTGGCTGGGTTCGATTCACGGGCCAGTCTAGGAATTTTGTGTCTCCTCCTCGATTCCTACAAAAAAGGAATACATTAAAAATAACAATTGATTTTTCTAAATACGCATACAGAAAATCCCAGATGACAGCGGGTAAATAAACGAATGAAATCTGTCTAGCAACGGTGGCAACAGACTAGCGCTAAATATTTCTTAAGTATTTTTAGGTATTTACAGGTATTTTAGGTATCAGTAAGAGCTTTCTGAGTATAATGCGAGACATACAAAGTTTAGATTGGGATGCCCCTAGGTTTGCAATGTAATTGAAAACAATATCAAAACAAAATTGCAGAAAGAAAAGCCTAATAGTATATATTGCCTTACGTTCCCGTTATGCGTTTATTTGTAACTTGGTACAGACCAAGTTTGATTTTTTTTTTCACAATTTCTAGAAAAAATATAGTATGTTCTTTTGAAATATGAAAGTACATTTCATTAACGGTTGTTTTACGGGTGTATCTTAAAAGTGATGAAAAACCGACGAGACTGTTATGCGTTTATGGGCAGTACAATGCTGGGTCAACAAATTTGGTTCATGGCTGCTTTTCTCCAGTTTCTCCAGATTTCGCCAAGATGAAGATTACGAGAGGCCCAGTGTGCGGCGCGGAATCGACTGCCGCGGGTTCTCCTGAACACTTTCGCGTACAGCGGCGATATTCTCGGCAGACCTTGCGTTCCGTTCACGTACGAGTGGTCGAGCGCATCCTAGATCCAAAGTGCCTTCCATTCATTTGGGCTAAAAAAATGTTTTATGAAATTAAGGAATAATAAGATGTTTTGATAATAGTTTGTTTGTGTAAGCCCTGCCTAGACCATGCTCCACTTGGTCCAATCCCCTAGCTCATTGCGTTCCTCTGCGTCTTGTGCCGGCCACTATTTTGGTGGAATTGATTTGTACCCGTCCAGCTATAGTGACTTTCAAGGTACTGATACTAAACCATATCTAAAATTTGTTATAAAAATCATCCCGAAAGAATAAAATGTAAAGATAGCATTTTTTTCTATTTTAGTAATGAGAGTATAAATGATAGGATTTAAAATCTCTCAATTATCAACTGTGTGCAGTGTTGGCATGATCATTAGAAAAATGATATTTTTCCTCTCTCATACGCTCTCAATGTCACGCGTGATATTGGAGCAAAATAGAATGCTTGATATTGATTTTACAAGCTCCTCTGATATTGCGAGACTATTCACAACGTGTAAAGTCGAAGCCTCGATTGAAGCTGAGAGTTATATCGACGCAAAAATGATTCCATTGCACCTCGTTTTCTTGGAAAGAGAAGAATTAATAGTGCTATCTCTTTTTTATCTTTGCCGATGGCAGACACGGAGCGACTGCTACCAGTCATCATGAAAGTTTCGGTTGCGTTCGGGTGTAAAGCAAAAATCATGAAACTCAATCTCACCACAGTTTGGAAGGATTTGCATCTGGTGAGTTTTGTTAGCTTGATATTCCGAGCTGCAACATTACAGCTTGCAATATCAACCGCAGTTGTGTGTTTGATGATTTTTGTCTACAAAAATCAAGCGTGATCTTGGGCTTTGGTGAGATTTGATTTTTTTTTATATTTTTCCAACACTGACTTTGTGTAACTAAAAGATCAATAAGTAGAGAGCATATATTATTCACGGGACGAATAAAATGCAGCAATCAACAAGAAAATAAACATAAATTTATAAAGGAGACTGAATACGACTTCATCAATTCCAAGATAATGCCCTTCCTTTTTCATAACTGGTATTTGGGCATCAACTTTCAATCGCATTGATCTCGATAAATTGGAATACAAAAACCAACACTGTGAATCCAAAATATAACGAATAAATGTCACCTGCATGAACAACTACTGCACACCATGAATAGCTTCAGGTTCCATTATTCAACCCAATCCAAGTTCCATTACGAAACGAACCGCGTTTGGGAAAAAAAATTGATTACCATAACTGGCAGGCTACCTTTTGAATCTGACCACCCACCACAAAACTCCAAACGTATCCTTTCCACCTTCTCCCGTAATCGAATTGAAATGCCATTTTCCATATTTTATTTCTGGCTCACCGTGCACACTCACTCTCGTTCCAGAACATCTCCATCCTAGTTGTGCTGCTCTACTCATGGCGAATCAGCGTCAACGTGAAAAGGTACAGCGATCTCGAGGACGTCTACTACGGTATGTATGCTCACATATGGCAGGGCATCATCGAGCTCGAATATGCTACCCACTTTTTTTTCGACTTACCTTCTGCGAAACGACAGTCACACAAGCCAATCTGATTACGCTGATACCATCTCTGTCGTTATTTTTCTTTCTTCTTCCCTCTATTCACGTGCGAACTGCCGCACTATCAGGTGTTCAGATTGCTTACTTTGCCATCATCGGAACGCAGTGCTCAATGGTTCTACTCAGCATCGTGCTGATATTCGGAATCTATAAGGTTAGTATCCGGGGGCTTCTCAGCTATACCACTATAAGCGGTTATAACGCATCTTAAAAAGCAAGGCAGCTGGGATCGATTCTCGATCCGATCTACATTCCGCTGCTCCGAAATTGTTTAACTACGGAGCTGTTCAGTAAAAGTTTAAAAATTAGTGAAGCATTAAAAAATAAGAAAATTTATTCCGAACTTGTGCAGACTTTGCTCAAGTAACCTTATTTAACGATATAAAATAAAATTTGATGATTTTATTGATTTCTTATGTGTAACGGTCATTTAAAATTTTACCGATTTTATCAGCTGTTTAAAAGACCGGTAAAATTTTACCGACATCGGTAATCTGAATTCAGTGATTACACTCAAAAAATCCCACAAGTTTGATCGAAGTGTTTAAGCACTTGATTTTTTAAATGCACAAATATTCAATGTGTTCTACACGTTAATTTATAGCGTTTCAAACTTTGAAATGATGAAAATCTTTCACTATCTATTCAAGTGTATTGCACATTGTACGCCTCATATATGAGAACAACGGTGGAACAGTGAGATCGAACAAAGACTCCCGGCAGCAGCACACCCCAACAGTCCATGATCAAATCCCAAATCAGACCAATTAAAAAGTTATGTGAAAGCTCTGACCTCTGGCAGTTTTGTTTATGTATTTGTCGATTCAGTTTAGAGTCGGTAAAGTAGAAGTCGATAAAGTAGAATATTGAACTATGATGTGCAAAGCTATTGATATCACCATATGAGGCACATAGAATCCAAGTGTGTCACAATTCAAATCCATAGTGTTTAGGCATGGTTCATAGCTTAAGATTCACACATGAAATGGATGTGTTTCACAAAAAGTGCAAAATTGAGTGTGAGACACATGATGATGACGTGTGGAATTTTTTGAGTGTAGGCATGTTCCGGGTTGAAAGATTTCTCGCCATTCCTGGGCATAGTGCAAATGGTACAAGCTTAGAAAGCTCTCAATTAACAACTCTGTAGAAGTGCTCAAAGAACACTAAGTTGAGAGTCGGCGTTAAGACCCAGTGGGTACGTAATAAAGCCAAAGAAGAAGGTTAGTATCGCCCCTTTTTGGACAGAGTGAGGTTGAGATGCACTAAAAATCATAAACATCGAAATATATAGCGGCGGTGCTCGGTCGGTCGGTCGGTCGGATGTGATGGTCTCTCCTACACATCAACCTCCGTCCATTTCAATTATGGCTCCCAAAACATAAATTTTCAACTTTTCAACCCCAGCATCCGACTTTATGAAACGCGCTGTCAGAATCGGGCTGCTTAATAAGCATGGAATAAAAGTTTTTGACAGCTTTATCATGGATTTTGGATTGTCGGTCTAGCTTTGCAAAACGAGAAGAAAAATGTGTCGTGTCACCGGAGGGTATTTAATTTTTGCAACTTTAATTAAACTACCAAGGGTGAAACCACCGTGCCGCCATCCATCGGTCGCATTTTCTAATTAAAATCAACACTTGCTGATTATTTATTCACTAAACTCATTTTTATCTCTGTTCATCATAATAACCTGCCATCGTGACGACGAATCATGGAACGCTGCAACAGGAGAACATTGGTCTCGTGGTACCGTGGATAATCGGATTCATCACCTTCATGGCGCTGGAAGCCGTAGCGATGGTGTATTCCAACGTGCTGCGAGATCACGTGAATAGGGTGAGTAATGTGTGCGTATGTGTGTTCTGTGATATGGAGAAGGGTTATAGGTTAAGAACATTGTTATTTGACATAACGTTGATTAAATCTTGGCTATTATCATGATTGAATTTCCCTGTCATGCCTTTTCGAATTGTGTCACTGTATGTGATGAAACAAAATTGAATAGATTAAATTATTAAAATTAATAAAGCATGGTGTGTTTCCACTTTCTATTGGACTGCGTTAAGTCTATAACATTTATGTTCATCACAATAGATTGTATGAGCTTAGATAGCCGTCAATATGAAACTGCTTAATCCATGGCGAAAAATTTGATTGGATAAGTTCCCTAATTTGTATTCAAGCCAGATTCTGACCACTTCCAGGTGTAATAAATATGAATTCAAATGTGTTTTGATATGTAGCAGGATGCTTTTAGCATATCAGTGACTTTCAACTTACCCGGGGCACTCGTATGGCATCATGTATGGCTAATGTGATCTCTACTTCTCCCCTGTACACAAAAAGGACATGAAAATAATAAGCCGATAGATTCCAGCATATTAACGAACAACTTCAAGCAACTACATTCAGCGCAGCATTCAATTTCATTAGTCCATACAAACCAAACCAAATTGAAAATAAAGAATTTTCGTTTCAGTTCGCATCGTGCTCACTTGCCATGCGGATCTATTTGCTTTTTACTGAAGGAAGTGTGGCTGCTACCTAAAGCTACAACAAATTTAAACAGCACTTTTCAGTGCTCAATATATCTGCAAAATGTCTACCTTAATCGACTCTTATTCTTCTTCAATTTGGACCCTACCCGAGGTAATGCTGCTTGGACATTGACTTAGAAAATTCCCCTTCCACTCAGATTCTTATAGTAGTTCTGCTTGGAAGTCGATGTAGAGAAACGTTTTACTGCCGCCATGGCACTTAAACGAAAAAGAAAAGGGCAATCTCTTGATCCCCCTTCTGATGAAATTTATTTGAGCCATCAATAAGATATTCTCACGGATGATGAGAATGATGCATCATCCAGGCAAAATTCCATTAAAAATTCCCGACTTAATGCCAAGCAAGAAAAGGTCTCCCTATTGTCATAACCACTTCCAATTTGCATGCTCTTCACACGGAACTTTTGAACTTTGTTAAATTCAAGTTTTTACTTCAAATTTGCCATCGATGTGAATGCCGTGTATTGGAAGAACGGATTCAAACGTATTCTTAAGTATCTTACTGAGAACCAACACACATTTTTCACTTATGACACCAAACCTGAACGTCTGTTCAAGGTTGTCTTGAAAGTTCTGCCTAGTGGTGAATCTGGGGGTTGAGGCACTCCAAGTAATCAAAATTAAAATTAAATCACGTCCTGGCGATTCATGCAACGGGATTTCTAATGATTTTTACAATAAACAGTTTCGGCTTGGCAGTCTGGCAATCACTCAATCAGAACAAATTAATTTTGTAATTTATCCCTACGTTTCGGCTCTGATCAGAGCCGAAACGTAGGGACAAATTACAAAATTAATTTGTTCTGATTGAGTGATTGCCAGACTGCCAAGCCGAAACTGTTTATTGTAAAACCTCACAGTCGAACACTCCAACACAATATAATGATTTTTATTTAGTGCACTTCAAATCTAGTGAACTAAACCAACCTTAAGGCCTTAGAAAAAGCTAGCCTAATGCATCATGTACGAGTGAAGACCCAATGCCATAAGTACCAGGGATGGGGTCACGGAGCAAAAAATTACAATATGCCAGCTAAAGGCATGAATTGTCGTGATTCCTGTTCAAATTGTGGTGAAAAAAATAAATCAATTTTTTGAGAATGTAGAATTTTAAATGTTGAGGCTTTAGAACAAATGTCCAACAAAATAATTAATAATTTCAGGCAAAATTGCAATGATTAATTCCCTTTATACTTAGATAAGATTTAGTTTTACTTTTTAGTTTTAAGATGTAAATTGTTATACTGACAAGCAGGTTAGAAAACCTGTTTAAAATACTAAATTGCCAGGCAGGAACAATGTAAAAACACTTATATACATAACAATTAAGGCTGGTAAGTTACTGTAGTAGCTGGAGCACCTTTGTTAAAATGAATTTATTTAAAATTTGGGACAATTAAAGAGTTACAATATCATATAAGGTTATGAGATGCAGCTTTTTAATACTGCGCGAGAAAAGCACTTGGCCCATTTTCCCCTATATTTCATTTTATAGAATTTACGAAAATTCCGCTGTTTATTCAATACCTCAACTTCAAAACACCAAGTGACCATTCCATCTCTATTCGTTTTTCCATTCACAGCAATTCGATTCCTTATGCAAAGCAGAAGTGGCCTTTTTTGTATCACGAGCATTCATCAACGTAAGTGTACCCATCGCCACGACAATACAGCGGATGCTATTAATTCTAGGAACAATGAATACACAATTAAACCTATATTCTCTCTTGCGCTCTCTGTCTCTCCCACTTGGTTTTCACCGCACGTACAGGCACTGGCAATGTGGGCCGTCACACGCTTCTACAACCTGCTGCGGGCGGGAGTCACTTGGAAGGGACCGGAAGTGATCGAACTATGACACAACTCGAACGACACGGAGAAAACGCTGGCGTCTCTCCGTGACGAAACCCACCTGATTGTGCGCATCCGTGGCACCGAGGATGACTGCGGCGGACGGTTCACCTCCACCGACGAAGACGACGACGACGACGATGAAGGAGGCGTCGGCATCGGCGACGATGGGGATGATACTGATGACAATATGATTGATGCCTCGGGCTTCAACAGCGGTCGGGGGAGAAGAACCCGGGGGCGATCCAGACAGCTATCTCGGGAAGGTGGTTCGGATGAAGGAGACAAGAGTGCCGGAAGTGGCAGTGATGAGGACGACTCGCTTCTCGTGGCGTACGATAGCAATTCCGTGGCATCCGTTTGACAATATCGAAAGCTGGTGCAGATGATGGCGGAGTTCCAGCGGCAGGCGGACAGTGCCGTGTTGTTGTTTTTAATTATATTTTGTATTGAAGTTTATGCGCAGATTTTTATATTTTTCTAGACGACTAATAATAGGCACAATATATTGTTATATTTCTGGAAGGATAAAAAAACAGCATCCTTGTATATAGCTTTCCGCATGAAGAATGAAAGCGAATGTGAGCGAGAAAGCGAAATAGTGTTTAATGACAAAAAAAATTAACACAAAAGAACCATATTTACTTATAGGCTAGGTTGCACAAAATGACACGGTGGCTCTGTATTTAGAGCCACTACCAGTTACCAGCAAATTCAAAAGAACGGAAACAAAGAACGCTGTTAAAGAACATATATTATATATATACTAAGAGTAGAACAAACAAAAAACTATAGGAGAAAAAGAGAAATAAATCATGAATGTGCTACCGTGAAAAATATCACACCAAACAGAGTCGGGGTCACGTTACTTATGCCGAAAATATGCCATGAATAACTCCTTCCTGTCGTTTTGCTGTTTGCTAGCTGATGGTATAAAGAATCACAGTAAATTAATTTCCCGCTCTATAGCTATAGCTCAAACAGCAATCACTGGTATAGTACCTGTAATCGCATATCACTCCCATTTCGTAACTTTTAAGATCAGAACACTGCAACGACAATTAAATGATTTTGAAAACCATCTCCTCAATGCTCTTCAACAAGGAAAGATAATTTATAAATTTACTATTTATACGATTTTTGAAACATTTATAAGGAAAATGCACTACATAACTTTTTTTTTAATTCTTTATTTAAAAATCTCTTAAATAAAGAATTAAAAAAAAAAAAAAACTTCAATTTATCATTTATTACTGTATCAATTGTTTTACACATAGGACCCATATGCGCTTACAGGCAACATAGTAGCAATGAACGCACATACGTACCCATGGAATTTAGTTTAGTTTTCTTTATTATCGATACCTCCGGCCGTGGGCTGGTCCGTTTTCTGGTATGTCCATGCAAGTCGCAATAGTAGAAAGGGATTTTTTGTTTAGATTTTCAGGCAAAAAAACACAGAGTAATAGATGTAGGTAGGTGCAAAATGCACCATTTAAGCAAAATCATCAATGCTTACGAATCGAAGCTAAAATCAAGACGAAAGTAATTGAGTATGGTTCATTATTTCGATCTCCAAAACGATGATTTTTCATGATTTTCAAAGATTTTTTTTAAAACGATTTCAAAATGATAGCAGGGTGAATCGATATACACCATCACATTGGGGCAAGACGCACGACAACAATAGACAAAACGCACCACAACATTGTGGTAAAATGCACCGCTTGATAGAGACAAACCATAACCATCAAGTACAAATACAAAGGCAGGAGGTATTTCAAATTATTATTCCTTTAATTTACATAAGAAATAAGGTCTCAACATAGTGTTTAACTGCAAAGTAAACCATCTTAAAAATATTCAAAACATTTCCAAACCGCACAATCTATTACCTGGTAACGCACCTGAGGAAAAGTTATTGTTGTTTTTTTTTACAAGTGAGCATTTTACCCTACGAAAAGCGCACAGGTCAAGCTTCGGAACGAACGTGCTCTCGATGCAGAATCAGTTCTTCGCCAAACCAACGTTGCTCAGTGGCAACAAAATGTCACCTTCACCCACATCAGTGTTCGTTGAAAAGAAACTGCCAGAATGGAAGGTAAATACGACCTGTTCAAACGTGACATGTTTGCTTGCATTAGAAGATAATGCGGTGCTCAGATAGGTCGAACTAGCTCTAGTAAAGGTAATTTTAATAGGAGTATGACATCAATCTCAACGGCGCCGGTGGTGTAGTGGTAAGTGTGATCACCTCTCACCCCAGCAGGCCTGGGTTTCAATCCCAGTCGGCGCCGCCGGGATGTTCTGAGGCATAACATCTCTGATCACGCCTTCCTTCGGATGGGAAGTAAAGCCGTTGGTCCCCGGTTCATGAGTTGATGGGTCGATAGGTAGGGTCCAGGTGTGGGAGCTGCCTTCCTGGCACGGTCGGTAGCATTGGTGCTCAGCACGGAAAACAAGATCGACGGAAAAAACAAACCAAAGGAAAAAAAAAGACATCAATCTGGAATTTGTTTTATGGCGTCCATGAAGATTTCGGTGTTACTCCAGTTACTACAAGAAGAATATATTCTTTGGTCTTCCATTAAGGGTATACAGCGCCGTTCTGGTTTTGACAACACTTCAGAACATTGCCAATACTATTTAAGTCAGACCGGACTAAGTGCCATTTTTTTGATTTCGAGAAAAACGAATTCATAGTTTGCATACTAGCATTGTTTCTTATGTTATAGGACAACCAGTTTGGCTGTTTCCTTTGCTTTTTATAACATTTACCAAATCTTTTCTTTTTTTGTTTTTATTTATTTATACAGGCTCAATCGAATAAACTTTACATTACTTTAATGTCTTAAATCTAAAGTTAAAGGAATTGAACCGATTACTCGCGGTCATCTCGAAGTGAGTAGATTTTTAAATTTTTATGGATGGGGAGAGGGAGAAGGAGGTTTGAGTTATGATTTACGATATAAATATTTAATTATTCCTAAAACATGAACTTATTCCCATTCAATTTGGTATCAGCAGTGTAATTATACAATTATTGCAGATAACAAACATTAAAAAAAATTAAATAATAAAACAGCAAAAAAGGTTATCTTCCATTTAATTCCACTTAATTAATTTTGGTATCCATGACAGATACGTATTTCGACTACAATGTGCAGTCTTCATCAGTGTCATTCCCACTAAAGAACTTATCAAAATCTAACCCCCTTAAGTACTCATCCCCTAGGTATAAAAGTCAAGATCACAGGTATATAAATGAAACTACAATGTGTTGAATCGGAACCTACCTAACTAATTAAAACCAAAGATTTAAGTAAGCTAAAGGAGAAAAATCTATTCAACTCTCTAATAAGGAGACTTCATTAAAAAAAAGCCACACGAACAAAACAAAAACTAAACACAAGGTTAGTCAAACTTACAATCTAAGGTAAATATTCTTAAAGAAAACATATATAAGTTTCATAAACTCCAGATCGCGTCTACCCAAAATAACCCGAACTGCAACATTAAGTTGACTACCTCGAGCCCGAAGGGAATCGTACAGCTCAGATCTGACTCCACGATTTAGTCAAGCTGCACAACGAGTAGTGATTGAATATGAGGTGAGACATCATACGAATGAAGTCTTGACCCACATCAAACCCTATGAACCAAGGACTCCAGCGCTTTCTTCGGCAATTATGAAGCTCTATTTGTAAGCAACATAGCAAAATGTATGAACAAAACATTTAAAGTAGCATGAAATTTTTACAATATTTTATACAGCTATCCCCCGAAGAACGCGTTACCCACTGAGTTGCAACCACCGCTTTTTCTCGGCGGGGTTTCAACCAGTCGGTCTGATTTTTTGCATATGAGTAGGATCACTCGCAGAAAATCAGAGCGCTTGGTTAAAAACCCACCGGACAAAGCGGTGGGTGCAACTCAGTGGGTAACGCGTTCTAAAATGCCATTAATAACATTTTTCGTACTCATATTGGTACAGCTGGAACACGTTGGCAATTTTTCATTTCCGTCAAGCCAACTAATTTTTATATATTTATTTTTTATTCTCAACGATGGTACACGTCAACTAAAAAATATATTAATCTTATAAAAAAAAGTATACTAGGATTTCTCAAAATTCGTAAACACTTCAGAAAACTAAAAATTAAGTCTCAAAAATTATGATTCTAACGTTAAGCTATTCTCAAGCAGTTTTCATTCAATTTGAATTGAATATGCCAATTGGTAACACGAAAGACAAAGTTCGATATGACAGTTGTATTCGGTTCAATTTATTTTGAGTCAACAAAGCTAATTTTTCAAATCTCATGCCTAATCCCAGATTGGAGATCGTATGATCCATATCAGATTTAGAGATCATAGAACGATCATGAATTCATTCCAGGTCCACTGGAATAACATTTTCTGGAGAAAAACTTTGATGTGTCAAGCAAATAATGTCATATTACCGTTTGCGGATCTCGGATCAGCTCCTTCAGAATCAGTTCTAAACCATATTTACAAAAGTAATGAATTCATATGATGTGACGCAGCAACACATAATTTTTTTCCAAGTTCTCTCAATTCAACCAAGAACTCAGGACAGCCACGACCTTCTCTATACTTCAGAAAAGAATTTTGAATTTGTTCTACGATTTTTTCAAAACATCTAGGCAAAACAAAGTTCCCAAGACTTTCAAAATCAAACCATGAAAGTTTAAGATGAAGTCCTAGCAGCACCAGTGGTATAGTAGTAAGCGTGACTGTCTCTCACTCAAAGGGCCTGGATTCAATCTCAGTCGGCGCCGCCGGGATATTCTGAGTCATAAAATCTCTGATCACGCCTTCCTTCGGAAGGAAAGTAAGCCGTTGGTCCCCGGTCCATGAGTTGATGGATCGATAGGGTCCAGGTGTTGGAGCTGCCTCCCTGGCGTCAGATAATTGGTACTAAGTGCGGAAAACAAAATCGACAGAAAACAAATCAATGCAAATAAAAAAGTAAGACGAAGTCCTCCATATGAAAAATGAAAAGAAAAAATTGACTTACTCCCACTGCGATCAATAATATTTTACCTCAAATATAATTGATATAATTAATATTTCCCCTCGAATATAAATGAAGGTGGTTCATTGGCATTAGGCATCGCAGGAATGGCTAAAGAATCTATGCTGCATGGTTCAGTTTTGGTGAAGGTCACTTCTACTTATAAATAATTACAACTACTATTAAAATAAAATGTCGAATTTAGATCATTGATATTTCATTTCAAATATCATAGAAATATGTCTATAGGCATTTCTGAAACTTACACAAAAAATTTGGATCTAAGGAATAGGAACCATTCTACATGGTTCTGTGCTGAGGAAAGTTACTTCTTCACATAAGGGATAAAACAACAATTTTAAAATTTATTGGCAAGAAATAACAATTATCTCACCTCAAATATATAAATCTAGGTTCACTGACATGTTCGGAAACACGGAACAATATTTTCGGATCTCAGAAATGGTCATAGGAACTACATGCATGGTTATGTGCTGGGATGTAGGGAAAGGTCAGTTCTCCATATAAATGATGAAAAACCTTTCCAAACGATTTTCTCTTCATACACCATTCGATGAATAATTAATTTTTCTATCGTCAATCTGCACATGACACGTGGATAGCTCGCTAAGCTTAGGCTGTAGGAACCACCAAAGGTTAAACAAAGTTTCTCTAAAATTACTAACCACCATGCAAAATAATGCTGCACCATTCGACGTAGGAAAAGTTACCCAAAATTATAGTTGAATATGCCGAGATCGTAAGACTTTATCTAATAGTGCATTTGTTTTTGAATCAGTCGGGTTCGCACTGGATAATAAACAAATTCGCTATAAATGTCGTAAAATGTGATAAACATAAAGAGGAGGGTACCCGGAATTCTCTCACCTATGAGTCAATTGAACGATAATTCTCTTGGCACAAAAAACATTTATAGTGAGGATATGGGAGTTCTGATGACTTGCCACCGAGTTATATATGAGCCATGCATAACGAGCAGCGAGCTTAGTTCGTAGTAGTCGAGTGCCTATCATGCGCATGCTGCTATCGAGTGGTCGGAAGAGAGGTACAGTCACCCCAATATGGGTCACTTCTATTTGATTAACACGTAGAACTGACTGACCCATAATACCCAAGCAACATTGCAAGTTTTATCGAGGCTTTATAGTTTTCTACAAGTCTAAATCATGGTCTACAGAACCCTCATAAAACCAGAAATGTTACTAGGGTAGTGACTAGTTGGCCTATAATACTGGAGTAACTGTCACCCCTATTCTGTATTTCGTTTCGAACGAAATTCTCATACAAAAAAATATTTTTTTGTATGAGAATTTCGTTCGAAACGAAATACAGAATAGGGGTGTGTATATGCAAGAGTTTTGCTTCGAGAATTCTGAAAATGCTTAAGCAGAGGGCCATGCAGTTCAAAGTGGTGAAGGTTATTATTGAGGAAATCTCCCCGTTAATCATGGGAAACTTCGGGTCTTTATGGACTCCCTTGAGAAACCCTTCAGATATCCCAGTAAAGTCAAAGAAACTATCCGAGAAGTTCTATGAACGCCTCCAAGCTCGTTTCCATCCGGGAGGGACCTTCACAAGTAACACAAATTCATGAAACTATGTTGAGTAAACTGCTATACAACCAAAACCAGTTATACACAGGTTATATAAACTGTTATAGAACATGTGTGTTGCTTGGGAAAATGATACAGTTCGATTCCTTATATAAAATTCGTGTGAAATTGTATACCGTATCGCACTTGTCCGGGAGATAAAAACGTCCTTATGTATTTGATGTGTCACATCACATAAATCGTCTATTCTAGTTGTTAAGTACGATCACAGCAAGGGACGATTATTTGATGTTGTTTGCTACTCACAACCCTAGTAACGTTGCTGGCTATACCAACTCTTCATACACGCTTGTGTGAAAAAAAAGTATAATTAAGAAGAGCTGGCAATATTCTAAGAAAACTATCCTGATTTAACGAAGATTTTCTAGAACAAGATCTGTAAATCGAGATACCTTGATTCCCAAGACTTTCGCTGCGTGGCTCTCGACGCTCGCTTGGTTGACCACTCCGACGGTCTAGATAGCGTTCGGTTGATCGCCTGTGATCGCGAGGAACTTCACGCTTGATTGTTGGGGCGGGGGGGGGGGGGGGCTTGTTGACCGCTGGCTCGACGCTGAACAACGGAGATTTAAACTAAGGACAATGGGTCCTTGGGTGTAAAACAATGGGAGGTCTTACTATAAGGAAACTACTGGGCACTTGGGTTACGTATGTTAGCTAATTCTTTTGATTAGCGCGTTCCAGAGTTTTTTTTTTCCACTTAAAGTCACTTCGACTTCAACTATCACTTGTTTAAACACTTTGACTTTTATCTGCGAACTATGCTCCAAACCTCCTTCGAAAAGAGTTGAAGTGGTAAAGAACTTGCCCATTCGATCAGACCCAGTAGAAACCTCGGTTTTCTCCTATGTGACCATACTCCCTGTTTCCACCCGTCATACTTTCCATTTATTTCCCTCTTCTATGATCCGATCCTGTTTGTGGTTTCTGTAGGGGAAGTGTACCTAATGTTTAATAAATTGTGTTTTGATAATTTAAATTTGACCGTTTCTTTGGAGTGTTTTTTTTAATATGTTCTGCTATCTTTTACACATTTTCATTTGTTTTTAATAAACTAGGTTTTATAACATAGAACATTAGATAAATAAACTATAACTTTCGGTATAACAGTTAAATAAATAGCTTAATATAATAAATAACTCAATAGCATATTGATAGCAACAGTCGGCCTTGCTCGTTCATACTTAATAGCAGTATGGATTGCCGATACCTACACTCACTCTCATCGCTCAATGCTGGTGATATAGGGTAAACTACGCAAAGGGTAACAAGCTATATTTAGTATTTATCAAGAAACCCTACTACGCTCATTACTTGACACATGTGACTCAGTTAATTTAAAATGAAATTTATTACTCCTCTACAGAGAAACCCAAGTGCAGTCGGAACAAAATTATTTTCGCATATGTTTTTTACTGTTGCACAGCAACAACACAGTTGGAACTGTTGAATATGAATAAGTACCGAAAAACGTGATTTATATGTCATCACCGATGCGAATGCGAACAAATGCATTTCACGCGTGCATACGGTGCGGAAACATTCGCAGTATGGTTTTTTGGTTTTTTTTTGGTCTCTTTATGAGCGCAAAGCTTTTGCCAATCAGCAGCAGAATGTGACGTACGGAAGCTCCCTCGATGGGATATGAAAGTAATCAGGATAAGAGCAACAGAATAAAAAATGCAAAAACCTTAACGCTATTTTGTGTCACTTAACGTGCGCTGAAACGAAATTATTATTGCACAACCGTTCTGCACTTGAAATTTGTGCTTTTCATACAATGTTGTTGTAAATATGTGCTGAATTGTTGGGGGTCAGTGGGAATTGGATTTTTTTTTTCATTTAAAAAAAACGGATTTAACGTGACTTGTGGCAACAATTAGACCTATTCTGCGCGGCGTGTGAGGTTAAGTGACTTACTCGACCTCAGGTGACCATTTGATTTCCAGGAAAAAACTCATCTGACAATTGTCACTTCACCATCACTTCACTGTCAACTCACCTCACACGCCGTGCCAAAGAATAGGCCAAAATGCATTTTTGGGATTCTCCCAGGTTTGTCAATGGAATATATTGATTGTGATGCAATGCGTATGAAACGAGTGAAGTTTCACTGCATGATTTGCAAACAAGATTCTTAAGAATGATTTTTACAACATCACTTCAAAGGATATAACTGCGCTCCCGTGTTGAGAATGATTCTTCATTACCCGTTAATGAAAGAAAATGGAACATATTTTCATTGCATAAATACCTATTAGAGTACTGTTCTGTGCTCTGGTTCCGCAGAAGGGAAAAGAAAAAGTCAGCTTCTGGTTACAAATGCATACACTACGTGAGAACTTCTAGATTGGCCGCATGTGATGATGAAAATAATGCACAATGCTACTCCCTCTGCAGATAATTTCAATTACTTATTATTTGATGGCATCCAGCACTTCAACGCCACCGCAAAACCTGTTACACCATTACTTTTAATACAACCTTTATTATAATTTAACAAATAATTTAACCTTCACCGCAGAAACCACAAGCACCACGACTGCTGGAATATCACCAACGCCACTCACTCACTCATACAGGCATTCTGCATAAAACCAAATGTATGGTGCTTGGTTCGTGCTTCCGGTCATCGTCGGTGGAAACAACTCGACAGCACTGCATAGTAAAGTAGGCGCACAAAAATAGCGTCCAAGCTTCCCGGTCACGTACAGGACATATTCTAGCTGCCATCGCCGGCTGATGCAGCATCCAGTGTGGTGGCAAATTTTGCTCCGATCATTATCAGCAAATTAAACGCAACAAAAACCAGCATCGACAGCGACGTTGTGCCATGCTCCGGCGTCCAGGCTGATGTTGACGGCCGTGGAGATGGTCCACTTGAAGCCACCGTGGATTGCTTCTGCCTGTTCCAAGTCCAACCGAGTGCGGTCCGAGTTATGAAATAGTTCAACTCCAACAGCAGTGTGACGATGTGCAGCACAATGTAGGGCAGCAGAAGACTACTGTTTGGCTGAAAATGGTGAAACATTATTGGTGTTGGTTCGTTTTATCGCTAAACGGTGGTGGCGATGTTGGAAGTTTAGCGGCTTGCGGAGAGAAATATTGCGCTTTAATGGCATTATAAATTATTCGTGATCATTTTTTTTATATAAGGGTCATAACTTTGACACTTTGAAAATGGAAAAGAAAATCAATCGATTGAGGATACATAATTTACGGCGGGAGGTAAAATTTGTTTGGAAACAATTATTCAGATAAGATTCATTGGAAGTTTATGCTGTATCTAGGTAACTTTTGATGTGTCAAAATATTTGCGATTTTAAATATACAGCCATTCCATAGCAAAACGGTACAGTGGTTCTCAGAATTTCGTAAAAATTGGTAGTTTTGTTCCTTATCGCAAAATATTTAAACTTATTTTTTGTTGTCATTAGTGTGACCATTTCCGTGTTAGGGTGGTCCAAAAAATCGATTTTTTTCATACATGAGTTTTTTTTCAAAAATTCATAACTTTTCTACCACTGGGCCGATTTCAAAGATCAGAATTTCAAAAGAAAGGTAATTTAAAATAATTTTTAAAAATTATATAATGATATTGAGAATATGGTATTTTTATTGAAAAACATTGATTGTATTTGATTTTATGGATTTTATGGTTTGTCGATAGAGGGCGCAATATATTTGTTTATATTCGTTTCTGAGTTATATTTTTTGAAGTTATCAAGTTTTGGGGGTCGTGAAGCAATGCCATCTACATATGTACCAGGTCCGGGCGAGTGGATTTGCTTTTTCAGGGCCAACAACCAACAAACAAACGGCCCTTTTCAGGGCCACAAATCAATACAGAAGGAGTTAATATAATAGATTTTCGAATAATTAAAAGAACTAAGAGCAAACACGTTTGTTGCGACCACTCACGAACTTTGCACTACATATTCCAGATCTTAGATGTAAAGTATTCATCACCTATTTCTCCTGCCATCGGTCTATACTTACTAATATAGATAAGTAGTAATATCAACCGGTGGAAACTAGCGATTTTAAATTGGCTCACTACTTGACTAGCCTATTGGTCCCAAGCAAATCGATTAACGTACCCGATTCTTGTCAAAATTCTAGTTCTACACTATGTTTGTTTTGATTCGCTATGAAAGTTTGACAGATAAAATGAGGGGTTCGTGGATTTTCCTATGTTTCGAGGGGTGCATCGATTAGCTTGAGACCGAAGATAGCACCAGAGCTGAGCCAAAAAGTTGAGCACGTTTCTTCGGGATTTACTAGTCTTAGAGTTACCTCTATGGTAATATCATCATTCAGAATTTAATGTCACAAACAAACTTTTAAAATTACAGGTATCAATAATCACTATGTTTTCATCAGCTACACGGCAGCCGTGCCAAGCCGTCCCCAGAATTCAAACCAAGCCGACGATACTTTTGGCGAGATTGACCGTGAGCGGTCTAAGCCATCCATCAGGAAACAACAAAGAAAAGAAAAGGTGGAGAAACACTCCAGCTGGACAAGCTGACACCTGACAAATTGGCCCGACCGAAGGATCCCCTCGCGAAGGCGGTCGAGTTCTGAAACGGATCTGTATTTATAGACGCTGAGGCAAACTGCCCAAGTAACCAAAAGTTCCGCATTCAACGATAAAACTCACTTCCAAGTTCCATAAAGTTCAAATAAAGTTCCGACGGAACCTTCAAGTTCCATAAAGTTCGAATAAAGTTTTGACAGAGCTTTCAAGTTCCATAAAGTTCAAATAAAATTTCAACATAACTTTCAAGTTCCATAAAGTTCAAATAAAGTTCCGACAGAACTTCCCAGTTCGATAAGGTTCAAATAAAGTTCCGAAAGTGCTTTCTTCCCAAGCAACCAAAAGTTCCGCGTTCAACTATAAAACCCACTATCATGTTCTATAAAGTGCATATAAAGTTCGAACACAACTTTGTGGCTACTTAAGAAGCTATAGAAAGCACACGAGGAACTTGAGGCTCTTGAAGTTCAAAACAAGTTCCAACAAGCATCCCTAAGCACTTCTTAGGAACTTCAGGTAAAGCTGAAAACATGGCCACAACAAAGTTCCTAACAAGTTCCCAGCGGAACTTCTTAGCAATTTTAAAGTATCTTTAAAGTTCCATGCGGAACTTCTTAGCAACTTGGAAGTTTCTAAAAAGGTCCGTCATAGCCCACATGAAGCAATCCGCACAAGAATTTTTTAGGAATAAAAATTGATGTACGTAAATATGAAATGATCAGTTGCTCAAATAAATCATAATTCAAATATTTATGCAGTGCATCAATATTCCATCCAAAGATAAAACTAGATAAAGAGCAATTTCCTGGAATCGAACCCATGTATTTGGTATGCGATCTACGAACGCTAACCACTGCGCCACAAGTGTGTTCGAATACAATGCGGGAAAACGCCAATTTAAAATTCATCAAGGTGTTGGGTTTCGTATTGAAGTCAGTCAGCTGGCACTGAAAACTCCAATAGCTCACTTTAATATACACACTTAGAAAAAACTAATTTTACACGTGACGGAATCCATCTTTGACATAAAAGATGAGACGTAAACAAACATGTTATGTAAAATTAAGTGCTCCGAGAATGAAAAGTACGTTACTCGACGAAAAGAACATTTGATTGAGCTGAATTTGGCGTCCATTATGACTCAATTTTATGTCAAAATTGACGCTCGTATATGTCAGTCTCAGAGCACCTAAATTTACATGATTGTTTCGTAGTGTGTATCTCAGATGGCGTAGCGGTTCGTGCTGGGGCTCTCACGCAGAAAGACTGGGTTTAATTCTTCAAAAACCTCCAATACTATTACTAATAATGAAACAATACACTTCATACTTGCCTCTAGAAATAACTTTCATAAATACCTGACTTAAGAATTAATTTTCATAAAAGTACGAACTTTAATATTAATTTGGTGTAGAGGACAAAAACCTTTTTTAATTTATTTTCTAAAAGTTCCGTTCATGTTCCACCAGAAGCTGCTCAGAATGCTCTTCAATTATGGTACCGGAACTTTCAAGTTCTTATAACGACTTAAAAATGAAGCTGCTTAGAATTCTATAGACAACCTTCAACCAAGCTGCTTAAGCCACAAATAGCCTTTAATCAGGACTTTTGGTTACTTAGGTGCTCCTGATGTTACCAAAGGGAGAAGCTCTTCCAGTGATAAAAAAAATTGACTTCGGAGTTCAACGATGGCTTTCTGTCAGCGAATTGGGACAAGGCGGAGCAGAAACGGACCAACAGGTAGACACATTCAAAAAGTAATGGTGTTATGTTCACCGGGACGACCATGTACTCAGTGGAACAACAATCATCGGAAGCCACCATCCTACAGCTACATCAAAATCGAGATCAACATAAGTGCCATCAAAAACTGACTTAGCCCTCCTAGCCGCTTTCTATCTGTTCAAACCAAAACACTATACAGATTAGTAGTGGAAAGCACGGCTCTGTCCATTTATCTTTCATTATTTCGACATCTTCCACACGAACCTTTTGACAGACGAACATACAACATAGACATTTTTTTTAATATTTATTTGAAGTACACTCCACCCCAGCCCCGAGGATGAACGATTGAATACGATGCAGCAGCAATAGCAGCCGCCGCAGAAGTGATCAGATGGGCGAACAATAATTACTTGGTTCCATGATGACCAGCCCCGGTCCTCCCGATAGCACAAAGATTTTGGTTTCACAATTGATTGTGTGAACCTCGGTGTGAACGCAGCGTGGAATGCTGTACTGCTTCAGACAGGTGTTAGCATGTGTCTTGTAGTTGTCCATCTCGATTTTTGAAGAATCCATGGTGGGACTTGGCCGAATATTCACGATTGCAGTTGCGAATCCAAAAATTGAATTACATCAATAGCAATGATTTGACATTTGCGCAGCGCAGGCGCAGAGATGTCAGTAAATTTAAAGATCATGACAATTTGCAACCATGGGCGCCAAACAGTGCCAATTAGCGTGCGTACTGTGTTTTTGGCACACTGTGCGGATTGACCAACGCCTTGTTCATGAGAGATGTCGTGCTTAAGATTATATTAAAAGTTGTCAGGTCATTTTAATAATCTTAATAAAGTTTTGGCGTTTTCAATCCTATTCTAGGCCATATTAGTGTTTTAAATCGATTTTCGTAATCATAGGAAGTGGAACTAAATTTCCTTTTCAAGCCATTTAGATGCCATTCTCATTTTGGGTTTCGGTGCAGTTTCTTTGACGTCTTAAAGCCAGCTTGGAATTTTGAGGTCATTTGGTTCAGTGTTGACAAAATCATCAATCAAATTATATTTTTCCGCTCTCATACGCTCTCAATATCACGCGTGATATTGGAATAGAATATCATGCTTGATATTGATTTAACAAGCTCCTTTGATATTACAAGACTATTCACAACGTACAAAAATCAAGCGGAGAGTTGACTAGACACAAAAATCATTCCGTTGCACATCGTTTTCTTAGAAAGCGAAAATATAGAATGCTATCTCTTTTTACTTTTGACCGATGACAGACAAGAAGTGACTGCTGCCAGCCGTTATGGAACCTTTGGTTGCGTTTGGGTGTAAAGCAAAAATCATTAAACTCAATCTCACCACAATTTGGTGAGATTTGCAGCTGGTGAGTTTAGTTAGCTTGATATTCCGAGCTGCGATATCACAGCTTGCAAAATCAACCGCAGCTGTATGCTTGTTGATTTTTGTCTATCAAAATCACACCTCACACCTGAACCCTACTTATCGACCCATCAACTCATGAACCGGGGACCAACGGCTTTACTTCCTTTCCGAACATCCCGGCGGCGCCGACTAGGATTGAACCCAGGCCTGCTGGGGTGAGAGGTAAACCTAAAACCTTTCTAGCTCAATTTTGAATCACAATCGTAAATTTCACTGCTATGACATGATCTAAAACTATCAAAAATCAAATAACATAAAATCGACTTGGTGAGGTGCAAATACATAAAAAAAAATTACAAAACACATCAAGTAAAGGAGGTATCGAGTTACGGAGCGACCATTGTTTGCTAAAATGAAGGGACTGTTAATATCATGGAGTTGGGAACATATCTTTGACTTAATTAAGTAAACATTTTTGGAAGTCAACAGGTTAGGCACCAATAAAGATCATGATATTGCCATCTCAGACCACTGCGATTTTTGGCGTACGTCACAAGAAATTAAAGATCTCCCCACCCTTTCCATTACGTTTTCGTATACCTTATACATTGCTAGTAATAAATGTTTGAACACCGCTATAAAGCGTGACGAACCTAATAGATGACTCATTGGAGCCCATGCAATTTATCGATCCAGAGCATTCGATAACAGAAGCAGTCTTTTTATTATTTATATAAATTCCAACTTATCGAAGGCAACACAGCAGAAAATAAATTTTAATATTATATCCAAGAGGATGCACTTAAATCATGTCTAAAATCTCATGTAATTTTATGGCCACAAAAATAAACACATGCAGAAAAAGCAGCGAAATGTCAGTTCATGCACTGTATCAATGATAATTTTGTCATTTTTTGGTAAGTGATATTACTCCATATTTTTGACACGATTGAAGTGCATCCACTTTGATGTGATACCAAAATTATTTTTTGGTGTGAACCGTTGAATACTGAGAACAATAAGATGCCGATTTACCCATTTTCGCCAGTGATCAAAATTGGCATACGATTTGTTGGATTTTTTTTAAAACAGCCTATCAGCTAGCGAACGTAACAAAATATCGATTAAAGGAACGATGGCTGTAGATGAAGGATGCAACAGAAATTTACCTTCCATAATCCATAAATAGCGAGCCCGTTAGACTGTAACATGACCATCTCCATCATCAGGTGCATGTTTCTGCCGACAAATCCGAAAAGCCCACCTCCTCCCGCTCCATTTCCGATATCCTTATTTCGCTTCCGTTCCATCATCTCATGTATGGCAAAACACTAGCAAGGAAAAGAGAACGAGAATCGTCAGCACAAACAAGATGAAAATTGTACAAAAGCTCTAATTATTGAGGGATTTTGGTCCGGTTGGTGCCATCACACCACAAACAGTCCCAACGCAACATCGGCCAACAAAGTGGATGATGACATCATTCTGCTTACCGCTTCGACAACGTTGATCAGTACAGCGTACCACTTGATGAACTGAGCTGTCCGCCATGAACTATTCAATCGTGTCTCGAACTGATGCAGGAAGCCACCGTTCTCAAACCCGGCCCAGGCGGTCAGAGTTAATTGATGCTCATTTGATGACGGCCTCTGTAGTTGCTGCAATGGTGGCACGTTCTGCCGACCGGAACATACCGATCGATAGCAGCTGGACATTGTTGCTTTTTGTTTTTTTTTCGAATGGGATTTCAAACCACGTATATGGAGTTATAGGAACGGATTGGGTGGGATCAACACAACACCTGCCAGGGAATTAAAATTTAAAGAACAGGAAAAATTTCATTGATGGTATGAAAAATATTAAAAAAAAGCATGCTTTGATCAATTTTTTTCTTGAGTTGGTACAAAGTTACACGCTCTTTTAAAACCAACCAAATTTGAGAAGAATCCACCGAGATAGGTCAAAACATGAATCCGATCAGTGTTGTTCATTTTCCATTTTTGGGTAGGTTTAGTTTTTACCGTTCTGGGTGGATTCTACCCAAAATTTGGGTAATTTGAAATAGCGTGTAATGGAGTAAGTGAGCCAGCTATGACATATGCACCAGTTATTGGAAAAAAATCCATATACGCAATGGAAGTTTTTGGTCCTACGAAGAACTACAGTACAGTTAAACTGGTACATGCCAAACCTGGAGCCAATTTTTTGTACAAAATTACCGTTAGGACCTTTTGTATTAATTTCTTACGGATTATGTTAACAGGAACTGCAATAGCAATTGAAAAACCTGATATGAACAACAACAAAAAGGCAATTGTCCTGTCTTGTCTGAGGTTCAAACCAAGGAGGAAGTCACATTGAAATTATTTAAATAAAGCTGTCAAGCCCTAGCTTTGAGCATTCTCCAAAACAAAACAAACGAAGATCGGTAGAGAGGCTTCAAGAGCATAACCCAGGCTGGTGGTGATGCCGATGGAGACTCCAGACGTTTCCGGTGATGAGAGCCGTTTCTAAATGAAATTACAGATGCAGATTTTTGAAAATTCAAGATGTTTTCGGTGTGAATTCTAACTAGCGGTTTTCGAAGCAGACATCAGACGTTTGGTGATTTCAGACGTTGCAGAGATTCAAAAACTTCTAGACAAGGCCAACTTTGATTCCAGACGTTCCGCCGTCTGCTTCAAGATGATTCCAACTAGAGAAGGTCTAGTATAAGAGAGGAGCGGATTCAAAACAAACTGCCTTGGCAACCTATGCCTAGGTGGTTTCAAGCAAAACTGCCAATGCAGTCAAGATAGGCGCTGGTCGTTTGGCTCTGACTTTGACGGTTCGTTTGGCTCAAAACCGATCCTCTCTTATACAAGACCATCTTTAATTCCAACCGTTAATGACAAAGATTTCAGATCACAGAGAATTTAAAAGCCCTCGACGATTATTCAAGACGTTCCTGGCTTAGATTCCAGGAGTTCCCAACGGAGATTCAAGACGTTTTTCAGGAACTGGCACGTTTTTGTAGGAACTAGGCTAGGCATCATTAGAATGACGGACAACAACCCGGTGAAAATAGTGAATCTGATTGAAACTAAAGTCAACATTACTCGATCTCTCCCTAAATTGATATTCTCTGTAACCCGATGAAGATCCAGGTCAACGTACCATATTTCCAATACAAAGTTCTAAAATTTACTTTCATAACTACTCAATGGTCCCTTCAATATCAAGTTAGAGAGAGAGAGAGTTGACTGTAGTGGAATATCGGTAGAGATGGACACAACAAGCAAGATGGACACTTGCTGCTTTAAATTGAAAAAAAAACTTTGTTGAATAAATTTAGAACTACAGTCTGCTAAATGAAGAGCAAAAAAAGGATGACTATTTTCCAATAATCACCATTTTTTGCTCTCGTAACCAAGGTTACAAATACTAATTACAGCTTAAAAACCTGTTTTTCAGGATTAATAAATAAATAGATGCTATGAACATATTGCTAACATGTAAGATACAAGAAGCTGAAGAATTTTGCTTTCTACGAGAGGATTTTTAATATCACTTTTCGTAATTTTTAGAAAAATCTAAATGTAAATTTTCGTAGGTGGCGGCAAGCTTTTTTTTCTTGATTTATTTTCCGACGATCTTGTTTTTTCGTACTGAGTACCAATGCTACCGTTGTTAGGAAGGCTGCTCCCACACCTGGACCTTACCACCTGTCGACCCATCAAACTGATGGACCGGGAACCAACGGCTTTACTTCCAAGATCATATATTTTATGTCTCAGAAAATACCGACGGCGCCGATTGAACTCAGGCCCTTTGGAGTGAGAGGTAGTCAGGCATACCACTACACTACCGGCACCGCTATAGTTGTTAGAGGCCAACGGGTCTAATTCCCTTCCGAAGGAAGGCGTGATCAAAGATTTTATGCCTCAAATTGAACCCAAACCCTTCGGGGTTAGAGGCAATCACGCTTACGACTACACCACCAGACGGCGGCAAGTTTCGCATAAAGTCAAGCGCTCAATGTGCTGTTGTTTCATTTTCAATCAAAACCGATATGAAGGAGGCAGTTAAAGAAGGTTAATTGAGTCATTCTGTATATTTGGAGTGCAAAAAATGGGTTTGATGTTTGACATCTTCCCATCTACTCTCCACAAATACCCTTTTAGAATCATTCAATATCATTTGTAATAGATTCTTTCATTTTCATTTTCATTTTGCAGCGTTTGGTGGGGCAATGGGAGCGCAAGTCAATCCAAAGCCGAGGATAAAGGACGGGTAATGGCTGAATAGTCTATGCGGACCACTTGAACGCCATGGGAAAAGGAAGGGATTGAAGAGGCCGGTTATTGGGGGGTTTTGAGGAAATGACACATAGTGATGCTAAATGTAAAGAAACCGAAAATCCATCTCCCACTGATTCATCCTTTCACATATATACCAAATTGATATCTTAAAGCAATAATCCAAATAAACAGACAATAAAAAGGCTAGTTAACAGTTGCTTTAAAGGCTAGTTGCCTCCCTAAGCGGACCCTCCGCATCCTAACTCTTCTGTTAATCCACTGAATGCTACTAGGCTGTCTAAATTTTCTTATTTAAGTTCGTTTGATGATTATGATATCTCTAGTCTAATTTAATAAATAATTGAAATCTCTAATCCACCTACCATGCTTTATTAAGTACCTGCACTTGTGAATGTAATCTAAAGTTTAACGTGTTTCAAGTTGTTTTTGACTTTGACCTATATTTTATATATATTAATTCGTCCCAGGTGACACCTACAAGTGACTAAAATGCTTCACTTTGAAGTAAGTTTCCTAGCTGATTTTAAATTACATAGGGTATATGCTTCAACTACGCTCACACGTTTCCACTATGTCGCACCACAAAAATACGTATGGTTATGTCACAATAGAAACACGCCACAGTGGAAATCCCGAGCCATAGTTCAAACACTTATCCCAAATCAATTATTATTATTATTTAGCTTTATTAAGGAGGCTTTCAGCCTTGGGCTGGTTCGCCTCCAACATCCCAAATCAAAATGAAGCTCATATAAGATTAGTTGCAATACCATGTACAAAAATGGTGTTTAACATTGTTTCCTGAGTAATACCTCAATGAAAACAACAACGAAAGCTTGTCACGCAAGTAGAAGGAGCACTGTTGGGCACTTTCTGAAATATTTCAATAGTATAATTCCCTTGCAAACCCCAATAAATCTATCTGCGTAAAAATTAATAAAATAAGAGTGATTTGCGGCAAAACCCGCCAGTATCGCACCCAACTTCAGTGCCTATACGTAAGCGTACTACAACGCGGCTTTTAAATAAAGGAGTAACAAGTGTGATACTATCACTTCAGGCTAGAACTTTGGTTCTCTTATGCAATGGTTCATCAGAGAGGGGAAGCTCAGTAATCCTCATCGCATGTTCATGACGCTATTCTGTCACGGCCTGAGCCAACGATGCCGGACCTAAACCAACCGTCTCCAACGCTCCACTCTGAAGCATAAGATTAGGCCCGCCCACCAACGTCCAGGTTAAAAAACTAGCCAAGGGGAGGGAATATCATTTGTAATAGATTCTTGAGTCATTTGTGATGTAAATAATGGTTATAAACTCCGCTGTGAATCGTTGTAAATTATTTTATTTTACTGTTTCAAACCCTGAAAAATATATCAAATATGTATAAACTTATTAAACTAATAAAAAAAAAATCTTTAAATCACTTCTAAGCCATCCTTGCCATCATACATTTGATTCAGAACCGCATCCTGATGCGGTATACCAATACCATCTGCAACATTTTTAGGCAATTCATCCTTGATGGAATCCATGTCTATCTGATGTACTGATTCTAAACTAGGTTCTACATTTTCTAAAGCATTCGAATTATCACTACCTTCTTCATAACTGGTATCTCCATTATCTAATTCTGCGTCTGCGTCTTTGGGATTATCAGTTTTTTTCCCGGTAAATGAAATCACCATATCAATTACTTTATCCATTGTACGAAACAGGAAACTAACAATATTTTGCAATAAACCGGTCACCTTATCGATATTTTCAATTGCTCTCTCCAGTCGTGTTAGATCATTTGAAAGACGATCCTCGTCAACACTTGTTTTATCGTCATCGACCTGTTCTACTGCCGCACACTCTGCACCACCATAGTTTTCGAAGACCTCTACGATTGCATTCAGCAAAGGAAATTTATTTTCTTCACATATTCCCGCATCATCATCCTGATTCAATAGAACAGACACGCCTTTTAAATTACGCTTAGTACACTGGAGTGCTCGCTCTTTTGCCGATTCTGAGGTATCGTAAACCACCTTGGATTGACCGTCAAAAATTAAGCAGCGACGATCGTATCGCCAACTACAGAATCGCTTACTTTGGTCCCGCAACTCACAAACCTTAATCCAGAGAAGAGAAAAATGGGTATTAATAGATCATCTTGTCACCGAAGAAAAAATGGCTATTTGCATTACCTGTCCATAGGGAATCAAACCAATCTTTGAGCATTTCTTGAAATATTGCTCCTTCTCATACGAGGGATTCGTTACTACTCCAGCTGTCTGCAGTCCCAAAACAATCTTCTCCGGTGGAAATCCAACGTCCAGCATATTGTCGATCACCGAACGTGGATACTTACGAAGGACAAACTCTTCGTCATGATCTTTATTCGATGGAGTGTCATCTCTCGTTATTACAATAAAATTCAGAGATTCAATAAAGGCATCCACCATCGGGCCTGGAACCATTCGTTGCGCACCGATCGTAGTCGAAATGATGAAGGAAGGATTGAGTCGTCTTCTCAGTTTATTCAAAAACCGAGCGTAGTTCGTCTAGCAAACGCAAATACACAAATGATATTTAAATGTTAGGAAAAAATCAAACCACAAAACCAACTTGATCGGCCACATCCAGCATCGTTGGATCGAAATCCAAATCGATTCCATCGTACAGCTCTCCATCCAAGCAGTGCTCAATTTCGTGACAGAACTGATCGCCACCCTTATCGGCTTGAAGCTCGAATGGATTCACAACAATTGATAGCATGAACGTGGCATGCTGCGCTGAATCTTTCAACTGAGACAGTTTGTCTCCAGAATTTGTGCTCCGATTAGGCAACAATGGATTGCTTCGATCACACGTGTCGTCACACACTATGATGTAGTCACATTTAGCCATCTGAGATCTGAATGGCTCGTTCATTTCCGAATACAGTTGTACGTAACATACGATGATCGCTGAGAGCATAAAGAATATAAAGTACAATTAGTGTTACATACTTTAAAAACATTATTCACTGAACACACGTTTATTTCCGGGTACATGACGACCGAGAGCTAGACAGATGAACTGGAAGCATGCTAATAACTTCACCCGTGTACTCATTGCACTGACTTTAGAACAAACACCATTGATTGATTCTGGGATCTCGCCTTTGGTATTTATAGAAAATGGAAACCTACTTTATCGTGGAACATGCTAGATTCGAAAAAGCGGTAGTTTGACGATAGGTCATGTTCCTTAGCTTCCGATTGTTCTCGCGTGTCGTTGGTGGGATTCGATTAGTATGTCCAGTAACAGTTATCTTCCGCTAGTTGGCGGATTTCTGAATTTGGATGCATTCATAGAGAAAATATATATATATATATGATATAATAGAACCTAACCGATTGATTCAGCCTCTTTCGGTGAAAACAAGAACTTATAAAAAAAAGTGTTGAGAGCATAATTTGTTTGTCGTGAGACATAGGAAGCGGAACACATAGTCACTTTTTCAATTTCATGGATATTTTGAGTTCCCAGAACCGATTTAAAGCAATTATGTATTAAGTTCTGTGAAAATGATGACGACAATTTTAAAGAAAACAAAGACGTTCAGAGGAAGATACAATCCATCTTCCACTGCCCGGCATTTTCTTAGTGGGACTCGTTGGGCTTCCATCCAACCAACTAAGGACTGTATCGAAAATAATCTGTAAGAAAATTATCTTTCCAATTCCATAAACAATATTTTAATATGAAAGGGGTTCTTCAAATCATATATGCCATGTCCTTCTTAAGAAGTTAACAAAAACAAATTAAAAAAAAAACATTTCTTTTTGGTACAATTATTTTGTCTTCTTATAAATTTTGGACAGTGTGACAAAACAGGTTTTCGTACTTTGTGTACACATCATATAATATTTTCTGAAGTTGTTTCATGATCTTAGAAGATTTAGCATCCAGGAAGTGTATCTTATTACGCTGTTTTTCCTTATAATTCTACTACTAATGTATCACTTTCACTTGCACTAGTTCAATTTCACTAATTCACTTTCACTAATTCTCTTTCACTATTTACTTAACACAAAAAACTATAACAGATACGTATTTAGTTTACTACTTGCAAACTTCTTCAGTGTCTAGTCATAGACATCCAGGAAGGCTGTGAAGAAAACACAACATTTTTCACTTGTTTCGGGCTAATTTGACGTACTAATCATACTTGCTGAAAAAAGGCAACAAATAGATTTTCACCGAGAGCAATCTAATTGGGTTCTTTAATTTTGAAACAAAATATCGTATTTTATACATCATTTAAAGAGCTTCGTTTTCTGAGCACAACGATATTTTTTTTTCGAAACCGTAGACTTTCATCTCAATTTTTAAATCAAGGTTTAAAGCAAAATAATAACTTCTCTGTTTGACACTAAACTAACAAATTGACAACTCTCTCCCATACAAAGTTCCACTGAGGGGCGCTAGGATGGTGATATTTGCTAATGTAATCGCACTTATGTGAAATAGTTCCAGTGCTCCAATTTTGATGTAATTTTCAGTTATATTTTAACGTATATTACAAATATACGGTTACCTAAATCCCCTCAAAGAACCCAGTTGAACTTGTTTGCAACTACAACCTATATAATGCCGATTGCTGATACTGAATGACAATTGGAAAGATCATCTTCAAAAAGATGTTAAGAGTTCTAAACCTTTGAAATAGTCAAAAATATACTTAACGATGCGTTCAACAAATACGAAAATGCACTGTCCGAAACCTCGTAAGAGGAAGTAAATCTAACATGATACGAGACTCTTGAAGAATATTGTTTTGGTTTCTTTGTTAAGTTTTACACATTGTTGAAGTCCCGTTAGATGTGAACTTCCGATTGAATTCGTTGGGATGTTCCGTTGATATGATATGATATGATAAATTCCCAATACATTGTGCGACTGGTACTTTTTTTTTCATATGACAGAAAAATCTAACCACGTTTGACTATATTGTGGTCCCTTGAGTTAAAGCATAGAATTTACTTATGCCTTAACTTGACACATTTTATCGAAGCGCCCACTTTTTGCATTGGGCTACTATTAACAAATTAGGTTAAATGTTATACACGTATTCTAATTTACATGTTACAGTTACATTGGTAAAAAAATGTACATGAAACATATGGATTTTTTTTTTCAGTGTGCTCAAATAAAAAACTCTTGATCACTTTGTATAGTAAATGTATAGTACTTTCCAAATCTGCAATAATATGTATGGGTTACATTTCATTTTTTTTTTCAATTACAGTCAGGAATGGCAAATCATTCGATTCGTGCCATTTGCATTCATTTGCCTCTAACTTTTTCCATCTACACAATTCCGTAAAATAATGTTTGTAGCTTTTGTAGACTTTGATATTAGTTAAAACTTTTTTGAGTATTTCCAATCTGTACCGTTGATGCATGACGAACTAATTTACATTCACTGAACACAAGTGGTAGGAAGATATTCAAAAAAGTTGTAGCTTTTGTTAAATTCTACAAAAGCTACACACATAATTAAACGGAATTCTGTTGATCAAAAAAGTTAGAGGCAAATGAATGTACATGATTTGCCATACCTGCCCACGTAACCAAAAGTTCTGATAAACGGCTATTTGTGGCTTAAGCATGGTCTATAGAATTCTAAGCAGCCTTGTTTTTAAGTCGTTATAGGAACTTGAAAGTTCCGGTACCATAGTTAACGAGCATTCTAAGCAGCTTCTGGTGGAACTTGAACGGAACTTTTAGAAAATAAGTTAAAAAAAAGGTTTTTGTTCGCTACACCAATTTTATATTTAGTTAAAAAAAGCCCCAGCACGAACTGCTACGTCATCTAAGCTATATTAATGTGAGCTGTTGTCCCGCCTACTGCTGGAGCTTTCAGTGCCACCTGACTGACGTGAATACAAAACACAACACCTTGATGAATTTTAAATTTGTATTTGTCCGCATTGTATTCCACCACACTTGTGGCGCAGTAGTTAGCGTTCGTAGATCGCATGGTGAATACACGAGTTCAAAACCAGGAAATTGCTCAATAATTTTTTATGCTTGGATGGAATATTGATGTACTGCATAAATATTTGAATTATGATTTATTTGAGCCTTACTTACATTAATGTTTGCTCCTAAAAAAGATTTGTGCGGATTGCTTCATGGGCTATGACGGACCTGTTTAGAAACCGTCAAGTTGCTAAGAAGTTCTGCAGGGAACTTTTAAGATACTTAAAAGTTGCTAAGAAGTTCCGATGGGAACTTGATCGGATCTTGGCTGTGGCCATGCTTTCAGCTTTGCCTGAAGTTCCTAAGAAGTGCTTAGGGATGCTTTTTGGAACTTTTTTTGAACTTGAAAGTTCTGTCGGAACTTTATTTGAACTTTATGGAACTTGAAAGTTCTGTCGGAGCTTTATTTGAACTTTATGAAACTTTGAAGTGAGCTTTATCGTTGAATGTGGAACTTTTGGTTACTTGGGTGGTTACAGTACAAATCGGTGCTCTATAGATTGTACTGGCTCCATAAAAAAAACCGATATATCACTTCTTGGTGAATAGAATCATCTTTAGTCATAATCATATATTATTTTATCAATAGTAATGTCCATATAAACTTCAAATCAAGCATAACTTTTCGAAAGGACGTGAGTCGCAAAAATAAACAAATCGATATTTTGCTTCTAACCGAATATAAATGAATTATGGAAAATATATTTAATGAACGTCCTATTTAATCTTCTTTCATTGTTTTTAAAATGGGGTTGATATACCCTTTTATTGTCAAAATGACTTAATTGTTAAAATTTGATGGCAACACAAAAACTGCAGATACGCTCACAGTAAAGCGTCGTATGTGAAAAACCAAAGCAACCATTAACAAACTGCAGATGCGCCAAGTTGTTTCTAAATAGATACAAAATGGATTTTAACGGGACTGTTGAAATGTACTACTGTTAGGTATGTTTTGTTAAATATTCTTGACTTAAACATAAATATTATAAATATGTTTTAGATGTAGCCACCCAGAGATGATGCTGAGAAGGAAGAATTAAAACGACATCACGAACTACATCAGATGTCAGCCAAGGTAGTGTACGACGAGAAGAAGAAAGACAAAGCGCTTGCTAAAGAAGATCCCACTGTTCGGACCGCAAGTTTCTAGAGACGTATCTTCACTGCAAAACAAAAACCGGTGTATCTGATTTGACGTATGTGAAAATCGTTCTGTCAAATAGACGAATCATGCAGGGTGTATGTAACAATCAAGGTGTGATACCGACGAATCAATCAAGGTGTGATACCGACGAATCAATCAAGGTGTATGTGAGTAGTACACAAGCAAAAGGTGTATCATTTTGTTTAAAAAAAAGTCTTGTCCGTGTTTGTGAAAACTCAATATTTTTCATAATTTCCTTAAACGGAGAGTATTTACTTATAAACTTGTTTCTCTTCCACTGCGCCAAAACGGGCAAGTCTTACAGCCACCATATCTGAGAATGAATTGTTTGTAATTTGTAATGTAAAACTGAACCAGTGAAATCCCATAATGTTGGGGCCTTTTCCATCCAACCCAAAACATCGAAAGGGGGTAAAAGCCTCTGGTTGAACATATATTTTGCCCGGTGAAAATGGGGTCCATCCAATATCCTGTCCTTCATGGTGCCTTACGGGAATGTTTCGGCCATCGTTGGTTACACAAAACACGGGTTTTACATAACACTGACACTTCACACTAAACAAATTTTATTTAACGCACAACTTATTTATATTTATACATAAAACATTCGATATTGGCGCCCAAGTAGGGCTCTAGGATCCGTTTACCATACTAGGCAGATTGTAACTCCTTTTCTAATTTCCTACATCTACCCGATCACCCGTAATCATGAATCCATGACGCCAAAGATCTCTCCAAACCGATCGATGATGTGTATCTTCTCTTGAT